CCAGCCAGGTGACACAAGTATGGGCAGTCCATGTTGACACCTTCAGAACATCACAACAAGTGCTCCGTTCACTGCCCAGTCCTGAGGAACCGGACTATGACCCACCCCTCCATCCGAGCCCAGACAAACGGGCACGTTTCGAGCAGGAGCACAACCAAATCCACTTTGCCAATATCACCAATTTTGGCAAACAAGTCCTTGACTGGTACTGGTCAAGACACAGTGAAGTGCACATCTTGGTCGAGACACACCTGGATCCGCAGAAACACCAACAAACCTGCCAATATTTCACGGTCAGAGGGCGCACAGCATTTGGCACGCCAGCTCAACCAAATGCAGACAACACAGGCACTCATGGAGGCATCCTGATCTTGGGCGATCCCTCCTGCGGCCTCACACCACTTGAGAAATACTCCCTGCAACGCTGTGGCTACCAGGCCTTCTTATGGCAGGCCACTGCATGCACCATCCTAGTGGCAGGAGTGTACTTGAAGACGGGCGAAAACATCCAAACCGACACCAATGCCACGATCATCAGCAGGCTATTGGCTCTGGTTGAAGCAACTGCTCATCCCTACATTCTGCTGGGCGATTGGCAAAACAGTCCAAGCAGCTTCACGAGCACGGTCCTTCCTTCCAAGTTTCATTTTGAAGTCTTGGCACCGGATCACAGCCTGCTTTCTGGCAATGTCATTGACTACGGTCTGGTGCACCAAAGCCTTGCCAGCACCACGGCCATCACCACGGAGTGGGGAATTCCTTGGAGACCACATGCACTCCTTACCCTACACCTCAACCTGGAGGCAGCAACCAAAGAATACAGACAGATCCAGTACTTCCCGCCCATGCCGACCACGCCTGACATTGATTTCAGGCCCTGGACCTCCTATCAATCCCAGGCCTATGAGCTTGAACTCTATGGCAATCCGCCCAACGATCCGGCAAAACAATGGGCGGACTGGATCTCATGCACCGAGCAATACTTGCTCCAAGAACACCCATGGGCAGCACAAGGCAGAGGAGCTACCCTCCAAGTGGTCACCAAACCACTGATCCCCACCAAAGCCACCACCACGTGGAAAAGGGGAAAGCCAGCTTTCTGGGAACAACTGAAAGTGCGATTCCAACTGGCCATGAAGCAGGCAGCCAACACCACAGCAGGACCTGTACGCGGCTTTCTCACAGCACTCCAGGATGCACCCAAGCACTGGGTTGGCCCACCCACGTGGGGACAACTCATGGACACCAGCCACCACTGGGTCAAATTCAGAGATCCACATGCTGCTGACTTGGTCCTCCACACCATCGCCCACCAGGTGAAGGAGGCGCAACAGGCTGCCAATGATGAGAACCATTTGCAGTACAAGGAATGGCTTAAACAAGGAGAAGCCAAAGGCCTGAAAGGCCTCTTTCGCAGTCTCAAAAGCAGCGAATTGGCCTGGGAGAGACCTTACCGCACCCTGGCACCAGACCAACGGATGACCCAACGGCTGCACGACTGGGGAGAACTATGGGTCATCAGACAAACCGATCAAGCACATGAGCGACCCAACATCAGACCATAGGCGCAGCAACAAGCACAACAACTCGAACCCCTCTCCATCGGCCAACTAGCCTGGGTGCTCAAACATCTTCCGGACAAAGCCTGTGGACCGGATGCAGTCTCAGCTCAGTTGCTCCGCAATGCACCACCTTTGGCACTACCACCCCTGCTCAAACTGTTCCAGGAGATGGAGAGAACTGCCCTTCTCCCAACACAACAGCAGATGCACATGGTTGTGATGCTGCCCAAAAACAGCAGCAAAGAGCGTCCCATTACGCTCGCCTCGATCCTTTACCGGGTCTGGTGCCGACTCCGCAAGCCACTGCTGGACCAGTGGCAACGAGCCTTACCACCATCGATGGGCCATGATCGAGCACGACCAGGGGCTCAAGTCTTGCAGGTGGCATTAGAGAGACTGCTGAGGCAAGAAGTGCACCGAGCCAATCACCAACATGGCATCACTTGCCTAATGGACATGTCCACTTTCTATGACACCATCAACCTCACGAGGTTACAACAGGAAGCACTACAACTTGCATACCCACCCTTGATGCTTGAAATGGCCATGCAAGTTTACACCGGCCCAAAAGCCATTGTGGCTGAGCAGGAGATGACTCCTTTCTTCAAGGTTCAAAATGGAGTCCCAGCCGGTTGCCCTCAGGCTCCGCTGCTGGCTAAGGTGGTTTTGGCACCAGCACTCCAACCCTGGAAGGCCCAACGCCCAGGAGTACATCTCTCCAGTTGGGTCGATGACATCGGCTTTGACACGGCAGCCAAAACACCAACAGCAGTCGCTCAGCAGGCAGTAGCTGCCTACCGAGACCTCCACCAGCGGCTCCAAGACATTGGCCTAAAGGTCAATCCACAAAAAACGGCCTTCAGTGCCACTGATCGTGCCACTGACAAGGCATTGAAAGACATCCTCCAGGAAGGAGAACCACCCGTGCAAACAGTCATGAGAGACCTTGGAGTTGACCACCAGGCAGCACGGAGACGTAGAATTCCAGTCATGAAACAACGACTGAACAAAGCCAGGAACAGAAAGCTTAAACTGAGAGCCCTGAAAATCCCAGCCTTAAAAATTCGTTTGAGGCTCCATCGAGGAGGCATTCAGCCAGCTGCATTGTGGGGCATTGAAGGCCAAGGCCTTGCGCCCAGGCACCGAACCACCCTGCGACAGGCCATGGGCACGCATCTGGGCCATCACAAAGGCGGGCTCCTTGACAGCACCTATGATCTCCACGCCAAGCGCTACATAGACCCGGGAGACCAAATCGTCATTCACCACATCAAGCCCATCCATCAGCTCCTGCAGGCCTGGCCACCGGACCAACTCCCAGCCCTTGAACAGGCATGGACAGCCACCTACAACCAGCTACAGACAAAGGACCATCCCTGGTACACTGTCCGCGGACCCATGGCTGCCACCATCACCTACCTGCAAGAATGGGGATGGCAGGCCTCCACCCTCCTGCGGTGGACAAGGCCGGAAACGGCTTTCCTCCAGGCCCATGAACTCAGTCTGCACCAGCCCTGGTGGCAACTAGAACGGGCCCTACTCCAGGAGGCCAAGCAGCAGCGCATTAGCAGGATTGCCAGCAGACCCCATCACCAGCACCTCCTCACCGGCATTGACTGGCACACCTATCATCGAGTCAAGAAGTCATTGCCTCAGCGACACAAGCAACATCTCAACACGTGGGTCCAGGCAGCGGTACAATTCCGTGAGGCGGCTCAAGTCAAAACTTGCCCGCTGTGCAACACCCCCGCCACACCCAAGCACATTTTATGGCTTTGCAAGTGGCACAAACAGCAAAAGCACGAACCCATGCCACCAGAATGGATGAACCGCATCACCAGCCATGAGGAAGATCCATTATGGACGGCAGGCTGGATTCCCTTAGAACCACAAGATCACCGACAGCAAGCACATCCTTTCCATGGCCATGGGTGCTGTGCAGGCTTGGAACCTATTGCACCACAACAGCACAACAGCTGGGCTTTCACCCTTGATGCCACACCCTCAACCTATGATGACCGTGATCAAATGTGGGTCTTCGGCCTTTGTGTGCACACCATGAACCTTGGACAACTGCAGCGCCTTGGAGCCCTCAGGGGGTGGCAAGTGGTGAGCAAACCAAAACCAGGGCTTTGATCGCAGGTGTTGTAGCCTTGGCCAAGTTCACCACCACACCGGTTCGGGTCATCGTGCAGCTTACCACGGTATGGGAGGCTTGGCACCAACCACGCAGCAGGCCACCATACCAGCAATGAACCGCAGCTCAGGAGGAGACAAAGAGACTGTGCATTAGCAGCCTGGGAACGAGCCCGGACCTTTCAAGATCACCGACAAACAGAATGGCAAGCCACTCTTGACGCAGATCATCATTTGATCTACACCCATGCCGTCCAGCGGCTGAGCAAGATCTACGACGACCCGGAACACTACATTCACCAAAAAGCACCCCGGCACCAAGGAAAAATGACCAAAGACTTCAAACGAGACTTGGTCAACAGGTGCACCAAGCCATGGGTCGAACCTCATCACCGCTGGCAGCCACATCGCAGTGGTTTTCAATGCATGGCCTGTGGCACCAGGATGCATCAAGGCCTCACCAAGCAAATCCTGGAACTGAGGCTACAAGAAGACTGCCCACAACTCCTCCTTGAGGAAGCATGCCAACCCTCCATGGCTCCAACGGCACTTCCTGTCAAGAAGACCACGCGGGCACAGGTCATCAAGGACCTGCTCGCACAGCAGCACCAGACACCTCCGAGCCCACAGGAGCATCAATATGGAGAAACCGCCGGCTATCTCAAATGCCTGAAGTGCGGCCTCAACATCCACAAAAGAGTCAATGCAGAAGCATTTCAACTCTTCATTGCCAGTCCATGCGTCGATCAGGCCTACACTGGTCACCATCCAGGGCACCACAGCCACGCACTTTGGCAGAAAGGGGACCGTCTTCGATGCACTCAATGTGGCACCCAGACCAACCTTGATGGCGAGAAAAGAGTCATCTCCACACAAGCTCTCCTCCGGCCCTGCAAGGGAGCAGGAATGAAAACATCCCCGCCTCTCAGTGACTACTTCAAAAAGAAGCCCAGCGGCGGTGGCACACCAGACACTGAGAGTCAAACGCAGGCTACCAGCACACCAGAAGAAGGCAATCAGCCTCCACCACAGGCCAACAACCCAGGCGGCAGCACATCGGGCCCCACACCGAGAAGGTTGCACTTCTCCACACAGCTTGATGCCAGCCGTGAAGACACAGATGAAGACACTGGAGGCCACATGATCGTGGATTACTTCTGAGATGCGTCGCTCACTGAGGCCTAGCCGACCAGCCAACACGGCTTCGTGCACCAACCAACCTCTAGGAAAAAAAATACATACATACATACATACATACATACATATGCAAAAGGCACACATATCTACAATATCTGTCTTCAGATCAAATTTTCTGAACCCTGAACACCATTTGAGCCATGGAGTGTCTCAAAGTCAGACGTTTGCTTCCATGGCCCCCGAAGGCGGGCCTCTTTGCGGACTTTGCCCATGCGGTGGATCGCGTTCTCGAGGCCGAAGAGCAGGAGCACCGCGCTCGTCCCGACAGGTTCTCCGACGGGTTGTGGAAGTGCCGCGCGGAGGCCTGGCGTCGGCGACGCTCGGTGCACTGGGGCCAATCCACTGTGAAGGGGGCAGCCGGAGGTTTTGTGCTGGGCACATCATATAATTTGAAAGTAAGTATGTACCACCCTAGAATCTAAAGTCCACCACCGAAGCAAAGGAAGTTCTTTTTTCTCTTCGGATCACTTAAAGACTATTTTAAGAATGGTCTTGGACCCCCAGGGCGCATATACACACACAAACCTATCTCCCAGCATGTTTTTGGGGGGCCCTTTGCCTGGACCTTCCATCTCCATGGGATACCTCTCGCTGGACCAAGGCCACCACACGAAGGCCTTGGGCTCTACCGCTGGGAAGCTGCAGCGGGCAGTGGGCCGTCGGATGGTGGAGCTGGAAGCGCGGATGAGGCGCCGAGAAGCGCCCAGTGGAGCCTCGGAGCTCAGAGAACTTCTGGCGGTGGAAGTAGAGGTCTGGACTTCGGAGTTGCAGCAGCTAGCAGATCCCTTGGTTTGGGCCGCTGATGGTTCCTTACTACAAGATGTTGGGCCAGTCCGGTCTGGGTGCTTCTTGCTGGGTGACGCGCATCTCCAGAAGCTCACTGGTAGGGCACTGGAGCAGAAGCTCGAAGAGCTTCATGACATGTCCGGATGGTACATCCCAAACCATCCTGCCGACGTTCCGCGTGCGTTGGCGGTCGGCGTTCCCATCCTCGACGCGATTTGCTCTCAGATGAGGCTCTTGGATGCGTGGGCATCTCGCCAGGAGACGCGCGAGGTGTGGATTTTTCGACCTGGTTTGTGGATCACAGGAATTCCAAGAAGTGTCGAATGCTTCACCCCTGAGGTCAAAAAGTAGTCAAAAAGTGTTGGCCCTCCTTTTTGGTAGGGATTCTTATTGGTCGACGTGCTCGATGGTTCCGATCTCCGCCAGAACATCCAATCCCCCCAACAGGCCACGGAGCAGTGGTGCTCCCGCAGCTTTGCCTCCGCGATGCTCTCTGTGTCCACCCTCCAGCAGCGGAGCCGAGGCTCCAGCTCCGAGCCCCTCGCGCTCCCCGCGCGGCTCGATGAGGGTCGCGCTCGGTCCCGCGGGGGGAGCGGTGCGGGGCGGTGCAGAGCGAGTCGACCACCCAGCGCTCCGAGCCCTCGCCCTCCAGCGCCGTTGGCGAAGGCGAGCGTCAACCCTGCAGCCTTTTGGTCACCTCCACCCCCGCCACCCGTCGGACCGTTCAGCATCGCGCCGGTGCCACCACCGGCTCCACCGGCACCGCCACCGATGTAGGATGATGTACAGTAGGATGTTCAGGATGCAGCCTGGCCAAAGGCCATGTGGCTCCACCTGCCAGGATGAAGATAGAAGGAAGGTGCCACAAGAAGGGGGGCGCGGGCGCGCATGCCATGGATGTTTGCGGCAGAGCCGGTGTTGCAGATACTGCAGTTGTAAAATGTTGTAAATATGGAAGGCGTCTTCTTTTGAGTGTCAGTAAAAACGGAATTCTTCTGAGCGCACTTTTGAGGAACAGCACTCTTCTCCACGATCGTGCCACTGATTTCAACGTTTGTTACAGTTCAGTCGTGGGATTTGCGTGCTGGGACACAGACGGTCATCCAAGGGGTCATTTCCCACTTTCATGATTGTTTCTGGGAGTGTACAACGAATAAAGCACTGCCTTCCACACAACGTCCAGCAGCGAGTCTCATGTTCTGCCGCACCGTCTCATGCTGCGGAGTTCGGTGCCGAGAACCGAGAGCGCTCCCAACCGAATCCTTAACATGAAGACATCCAAGAACCCAGCTGGAACGCCACACCACAATTGGGCGCCTTTGGACCTCGAATGTGGCTGTTTAGCCGCGACCTACGAAGAGGTGGTGGCTGAAAGCCGCACTGGGCCACGGCGGTCATTCTTCGCGCTACGTGAGCGACCTCAGTCAGCTGGCGTCTCCCTCCGAGTCTGGGCGATATCTTCTGCAGGAGGACAAGGCTGAGCCTCTGCATGGACTTGGGGTCTTGGGTCAACACCCTGAACACTCACAAGCTTTTTTGAGGCCTAGACCCCAGCACGAGACCTGGACGATGTTGAGGGTACAAAAAGATACATGGGGTCCACCACAATGAATGACTTCTTTGGACTCACGAAAGCCAAAACCACAAAGCATTCTCTTAATAGTGGTATGTCACGTTCGGTCTATTTGGGGAAACCACATCGGACCGCACGCTCATTTCCGAGCCACACCCAGGATTGCATTTTGCTGGACGAGCGTCGTTTCACCTTGCGCCTCTACCTGGCAGCCCGTCCGAAGTTTTTGACATAGGGTCATGAGGTGTATAGGACTGTCAAGAGGAGTTAGGGGTACCTTGGTTGGCGGCAGGATTGTCCTTTTCTTAGCAAGATCCTCGAAGCATGACCAGGTTGTTCTTGGTAATGCAAGCCCCCTAGCTTCCCAGAGATCAACAAGACCTTGCCAAATTGCTGATCAAGCCCATGGTGATCACTTCTTAAGCATTCAAAGGTTTGGACAGTGAGTTCACAGTTTTGATCGGCTTTCGCAGTCGGGCCCCATTTTGGCCACACAGGGCCTTACTGCAAGATTTTGGCAAACAGCAAAAGAGCTTACAAACCTGCCAAGACGAGACGCCAGGCTCAAGAATTGCAACCTACAGCCTCTTCAGAGTAGATTGCACAAAACGAAAGGACAGAGTGAGATTCTGAAATCACTTAAGCACCTGACTGGCGTCTGAGGTCATTGTGGCAGGTCATGCCTTCCTGGCTTCCAAGGGCTTGGTATACCGAGCCCTTGGCACATCCAAGGTGTCCAGCACGGGGGCGGGCTTCGTGCGTGGACCTTCACTATACTCCTCCAACTTGGACATAGACGCGGGAAGGCATTTTTCACATCTGCCGACTCGGCTCTTGGGCAGGCGTTCGGAGGTCTTGGAATGATTCCGGTTGGAATAGCGTTTTCTAGATGAAGCACAGTTTGGGTGGACAGTGTTTAGCAAAGGAGGTCATCACGACGTGCTGACACATGAGGATTTCAATGCCCCTTCTAACAGCCCTAGAAGCCAGCGTGGTTGGAGCAGAGGCATTTGCTCCCGCTTTTCGTTGGAGGATGGAGACTGGTGATGCTAATGAGGTCGGGGCCGGCCGTGTGAATGGTTCTAGGTTCGGAGGTGGGATTCACAGATACCACCATAGTACCATAGATTTACTGTAGACTCGACTCTTGATTCGTTTTTGTCTCAACATTGCTGGATTGTAAGACCTCTTCATATCCCAGACACTCCATGTATGGAATATAAATATATGATATATGCCTACATTGACCCCCAAACCACCCCAATGTAGGCATATATGGCATACATGGAGCGTTTAGGGTATGTTCTTTTTGGTTCCTCACGAATCTACGGCGAGACTTTCAAGCGCTCCGTCTTGTGACCGCCGTTGTCGTTGGCATCGCGGGGTGGTCCACGGTCGCCAAACGCCATGTGACATCGCCACATCTACCGACACTTCCGGAGGTCACCAACTGCTCCCGCGCCGCCTTAACGCTGAAGGGCGCCGCCAACGCGGCCAACGCGCGTGAGGCGCCCGATCTCCAATGGCTGGAGCAACGGCTGGAGCACTTGCCGCAGGAGGGGCCGGACGGTTTTGGGAGGCGCAGGAGAAGCGAACAAGTACTGGGCGGGGGCCGGAGGATTTGTGTAATGAGAGCCCTCCAGAACTGGTTCGTTTCTATTGAATCATCCAAAAACTTATATACAGTATACTTTATATATGTATATATATAGTAACTTTGATTCCGAGGCTAATCTGGAAATCTCGGACCCAAACGCATAAGGTTGCTCGGTCCCTGCGTTCTGTAAACACATGTTTTGATCCAGAGTGCATGGGTCCATCCACGAAAGATTTCAAACGGGTCTAAGAGGTTCTGAAACTACTGGGCTTTCATGAGCCTGGCAGCCTGATGGTCGTGAAGGCACCGATATGAACGCCGATCTTGCTAAGAAAGGGGAGTCCTTTGTCAACATTCTGAGCTGTCGAGGCTGAAGGGGGCGGACCTGGCTCCTATGCTTCTCAGCAAAACCATGGGCGGGCGATGGTTAGTTATGTATATGTAACTGTATGTAGTTCATTGCCGGCTTTGCATTTCGGGCGCCATTGTGTTGCCCCATTCTGAATGAAGGACAAGCAAGCTGTCCTTCGCAGTGTAGTTTTGCCAGAGGAGTTTTCTTCAACCAAGTTGCAAAGATATTTCTATAGATTTCTTTGTTTGTCCTTATCTGTCCTTCGATCTTGCGTTGAATACGTTTTGACCCATGTGTGATGCGCGCATCGCGCTGTTCACATCCACCAATTCCAGAAGCTCTTCGAGGGGCGAATCACCCGGGGAAGGCTACTGTCCGCCGTGGTGACGGTCGCAGCGGTCGCCGCGGTCGCCATGAACCGAACCTTGAACCGAAGGCTCGTTGGACTCTTCAACTTGGCTTCTTGGACTAGCAACGTTCGTGCATCGCTACGAGTAAGTAACAAGTGCGCGATTCTGCTAGTAGCTTCTTAAGCTACTACTAGCTCTTCGGTCGCCTTTGGTTTAAAATCAATTATATCAGGACAATCCATGAATTTCATGGTCCGTTCTCCCGTGTTACAGGCCTGGTGCCAGAATGCTCCATTTGTGCTACCACCGCTAGGCCGTGATCGGATCCCTTTCAAACTTTCAATCAACTTACGCCCACCGTCCATGCCATCGCAACCACCGCCGGAGCTCCGCGTGCGGCCGCCTCGCCGAGGCGCGTCTGTGGCGCCGCCTGCGGCGCCTGGGCACCTGGCTGGCGCAGGGCGCCCTGCGGCGCGCGGCGCGCAGCCCGCTGGGCGAGCTCACCGCGAGCGACACCGAGCGGTGCCGGGGACCGGAAAGAGTGGGGTCTGGGGACGAGAATACGGAGAGGATTTGGGATCAGATCAAGATTTTTATAGATTTGTACTTTTCTCTCTCCTCCTTAGTTGGCTTGCACTTTCGCACCAGGGGGCATCTTTTCGCCATGTGTCCTTCTTCATCCTCTGGCACTTGGCACTTGCAAGGCTTCCATTGCCGAAGATCCTGGGCATGGACGTGATCCTTTCGAAAACCTCGCCAGGCCTCCGGATGGTTCGCGCTGGCGAACACTCGGATGTGTCGCCCAGTTGGAGGCTCGGAGACTCCCCGGTTTTGACGTGGTTCTCTAAGAGACACAATGCATTTGAATCTGAACGGTTTGGATTGGGGAGGGTTCCGGGTTCGGTTCCAGGATGATGTTTGATCCGAAGAATCCAAGGTGCCCGCTCCTGCCCTGATCTTTTCCTCCATGATGACACTCCAATACCACTAGTGACTAGTGGACAGGCCACTTGGGAAAATTGAGGATGTTAAGTTGAGGGATACACAGGATGACATTCACAACATTCATACCGGCAAAGGGATTCGACTTTCATATATAATCATATATAATCCTTTTTGCAGGGCACACGCCAGGAAATCCTGGAGCTTAATATCCTGGATTTGATGCAGTATCAAAGCCGTTGTGGCATCAACACTGCCCCAACCAGACCACAAATGTTTACCACCACAATCAGCCCCTCACGGCACCATCCTTTTTTCTGCCCAACCGGTCGCTCGGGCACGCAGGCGCGCGGGGCGCGCCGGGTGCTTGGCCGTGGCTCCTGGAGATCAATCGCTTCCCAGCGCTGGGCCTCCGCAGTGAGACGGATGCCGACACCAAACTGCCGGTGGGGCCGGTGGGGGATTGGTGCTTTTCGACTTGGTGAACCTGAAGGACGGAAACAGGGAAAGCGTGATCCTAGTGGAAAAACATTTGCACTATGGACCTGTTCACCTGTGATTCATCACTACAAAGGGGGATGAACAGACCTCACCATGGCAATGCACCGGGATGAAACGTGTACTGTATAACTTATAACAGTAAGACTGACGCCCCAAACATTTTTTCATGCTTGCACAGTCAAACTTCTTCCAAAGCTGTTCTTCACAATATCGCCGTGACCTCCTTTCCTTGCCGCCAGTGTCGCGAGAATTTCTTCTATGCTGGCACCACAGCTGTAGGATCCAAAATCTTCCGGAGGGCGTTAGTTGTCCAGTTCAAAAATGGCTTGGCAGTCCGTAAACACCAAGGGTTGATGGTTGAAGGATCCCAAACTGGTGTGTTTGACTGGGAGTTTTTCCAGGTAGGCTGGGAGTGCCAACCACTTGAACCAATTGGCTTGAGCTGCAGGTGATCCGAGACGCCTGGCTTGTGGCCCGGAGCGCGCGCGGCGCGCATGAGCACTGGTGCCCTGAAAGTCTGGGGTGCTTGGAGCTGTTGAGTCTTGCAGGGTCTTTAGGGAGCCGAGCAGCCTTCGGAAGCGAAAAAAGCACCCGGGCGGTCTGTAATGGTCTGTGTTGCCAGGTTGGGTTGATGGGATTCACCGATCAGTTCTCTTTCGAGGCCTAGGGCCTAGGCCTTTATGGCAGCCTCACAGGTGAAAATCCTCCGTTAGAGTCAGGTCAACTCTGACTCTTCCTTGGTTTTGTGCTTCTCCGACGTTCAGATTCAGAGTTGTAGTTGTCATTTGGGGTTTCCTTTGACCATCGCAGATTTGACCGGTTTTCTCTGTTGTGGGCGGCCGTGGAACTCAGCAAGCCACGCGACACTTGAGAGGGTCATATCCATCAGGAACCAGGCAAGTTTGATAAGAATATAGGAGCACCCGGCCAATGGAACAAACGTAAAAATATCCAAGAGGCAGCCTTGGGAAAGCACACCTGTTTCCACCTCCAAAGGGACATGAAGCTGTCGCTGATAATTGTGCAGGGGCACTGTATGCATGTTACGTTGCATGATGTGACTTGATGACCTTGCGCTGCCGCTGTTAGCCGTTGCCGGTGTGTCCATAGTTGTGTCACTAGGGCCCGTTCCCATTGTACAGACCCTGTCCTAGCCTCCAGAGCACGGCTTCTGCGCAGCTGTGAAAGCACGGCAGTGCAGACATTGGCGAAGAATAGCATTGGAGATGATGGAGATTGTGGAGGTTCGATCATGTTTGGATGGCCAGGAGGTTGATTCCGTGCCCGGACGTTGAATGTGGTTCCGTGCGTTCGAATTATGTGGTGGTTGTCGCAAGACGTTTGAGCCTTGTCCTCCTTGTTGCAATTTCATATTGTTGGAGAGGGGTGACACCAGTTTTCTCCACAAAGAGGTGATTCTCCGCGTATAGTTTGTTGATCTAGAGGCCCCAAGAATGCAGCCACGCAAATGGGTGCTTTGTGAAGAGTACCACGAGCGCCAGATTCGACCTGACCTGAGCCCCAGATGTTGCCGACTCCCAACTTATCTGGAGACACATTGACCGACAGGCCAAAGAATGAGGATGAGTAGCTGTCCACAACCCACAGGCCACATGACATGACGGCTGCAGACCCAGGCTGACCCATGGCCCATGGCTCACCAGAGCTCTGCAACAAAAACCTCCGAGCTGTTCTTTCGTAAAACCGCACGCCGGGGACAAAAGGAAGCACCTGCGATCAACAAGGCGTTAAACGCCCTCGGCAGGAAGACTGACGTCCATCCTGATCAGAAGACTCTCAAACATCACCAGTATCATCAAAGGGCCAAGTCTAAATTGTGGTTGGCACTTTTGTGGCTGTCACAGCACTCTTGATGACCTCTAAAAGCCACGAGCAGAAGTATCTTGTGAGCGGGAAGGGGCGCGGTATAGACTTCCTCTTCCTTGGTTGCTGGAGGTGGGGTTCATTTCATTCACCCCTTGCACCAAGAGGACCTTTCAGATCTCACCAAGGTAGCCACATCTTCCATCATCTTCCTCTGCCACCCACATCAGATTTCCCAGTATCTGTGGATGCCCGCCGTAGAAAGAACCACCTCCAAGGTTTGCATGCAGCGTGATGAGATGCGCAATTTGCCGGACATGGCCTTGGATGTCATCTTCCAACGGGTGGAGCAGGCGCTTCATGGTCAACCCATCAGGAGCAGGTCTTCCGTGCCGGTCGTTGGCGGTCGTTGGGGGCGCCTGTTTGCCTGCGTTACGGATCAGAGGGCTGGGCGATCCCGTCAGGAGACTGGCTTATGCGGATGAGGATGGCGATCTGTGCACCTTGACCGTGCCGGGCCTTCTGGATGCCTTAGATTTATGCTCTGGGCTGATGCTCCTGCGGGTGATGCTGGACGACGATGCCTCCGCCGGTTGGGGTGCGCCGGTTCCTCTAACCGGTGCCGACTTGGTGAGTGAGCTACTGTGGCGAGTGAAGGGTCTGGACCTGAAGGTGGTCTGGCATCGAGTTGGGGAAGAGGGCTTGGAGCTGCTCTCCCAACTCCAAAGCCACTGGCAGGAGGAATCTTGAACTGACTTTGTGCATTTTTGTGCGTGGCCTCCCTTGGGTTTTGGGCGAATGGAACTTGCCCCCGTTGTCCTTTTACTTTGTTGTTCTTTCTTCGGAGTCGCCGTTGTTCTTCTTTTTCATCACCTCTTGGCCCCACTGGAGGACTGGTCGAAGTTGATTCATCCACTGGATGCCCTGGCCTCCGGGTATCCTGGTCAACACTTGGAGGAATCACTGGAGGAATCACGAGTGATTGAAGACACCAGGCCAATGCTGAAAGTGGGCTCTCTGAAAATGACCGTTTGGTTTGGTTTGCCCCCCCGTCAACGGTCTTTCCCTTCTGAAGGAGGGGTATGGGGGTTGAAGGGTTGGAGGAAGTTTCATTCACCCTCACCCAAACCTGACATGGCTGGCAATCCAGACTTATTTTTGCACTATAATGATGTTCCACATTTTTACGAGTGTTAGCCGTGTTAACTCTGATTTTGTGATGCTAGACTCTGCGTGTGACTGCTTGTTCCACACCCAGAACGAAGAGTTCGGATTCAACTTTTCGGGGATGTTGCGGTAAACATTCTTCAGCTGTTGCCCAGCGGCTTTACCTTCAGCAGTTCTCTGCTTCCAATGATAGCGATGATAGTTTACACTTCGTCCAGAGGGGTTGAAAGCCGTCCAGAAGGGTTGGGGCTTTGAGCCTCAGGTTGGGGCCTACACAACCAGATGCTTGCTTCCGGACAGGGGTTCTTGTGTAGGTGTAGCAAGCCACTGGTGGCAATAGAAGGAGTACACACATCCCGATGTCAACGATCCCATGGAGCGATTTCTGGTCGAATGCCAACAGAACCAGTCCGATGGGTTTGTCCAGGTCCACCAGAAAGCATGTGCACCACATCAGGGTCCAGACCGATCGTGTTCGCCGGGGTAGATCTGAGACGATTTCGGGTTTCCGAGATCTTCGGAGCGATCGCCCAAATCGCCTCCCCAAGGTATCACCTACGGTTTCTGCCCAGCTCCGGGGTACCCACTTCCGGGGTGGACCAAATCACACCATCTAGCGGTGAAAAACCCCGTTCCACCCGAGAAGGTACCGCTTCTCGGATGCACAGCTGACGACCTGGGCTCAGCTCGCTCTGGAGCTCTACCGCGCCATGGAGCCAGCCCTGCAGCAGCAGGAGCCACGGGATTTAGGGTGGTCCGCCCCCGAGAGACAGAGCCATCGCGACGGTGTTTTTTTTGTTTCTTCGTCCTCCTGCCGAAGGCAAAAACATGGTTTAGATACGAATCAGGAAGGCTTTATTGTTTTTGGAGTTCTTTTTTGAACAGTTTCTCGTTTTGATTCCTTATGCTTCTTGCTTTTCTGATTTGCCGCTCTTGCTTTTCTGCTTCTTGGCTTTGCATTTGTTGTTGTTTTGTTTTTGTGCTTTCCGCATGGGAAACGCTACAGGAGACGCGGCAGGTGCATATATATATATATATATGGGACATGGCATCCTGTAATTACACGGGATCCTGCCCAGCAGCATATATATATATATGTTGAAATTCACCTCATCCCCATGGACCCCGTAGCGTTGACTCTCAAGGTAGAGCAAAAGGTAGCGCTTACCGGGCTAGCAGGGTTAGCTAGGTAGTTAGTACTATTAGAGCTGATCCTGTAAAATACAGGTTATCAGCCGTAGGCTAGCTAGATTAGAGCTATGGACCCAATGGATGACGACGTCCCACCGAATGCCTACGGAAGTGGCTTTGACATAGTTCCGAGTGTGCCCAATAGTTTGGATGCAGTTCAACGGCATGAACAGGCAGTTGCACAAGTGGCTGCAATGGATCCAAGGGTTGCTTCGGAGGTGTACCAAGAGATGCTAAATAGTGGTGGTAGTGTTACTCTTCAAGAGGCGGCACAAGCTACCCTAGCAGGTATGCCGTCAGCCACCGTAGCTGGTGCGCCAACAGTAAACAACTTGTTGGCAATGACTCGGCTCAACGTCGTCAACCTGAACGCATCGCCAAACGACGAAGAACTACGACGGGAGTTACAACAACATGAGTTTTTGCTCAGCGAACAAGCCAGGAGGGAAGCTGAAATCGAGGCATTGCGCTTCAGGAGTATTTACGAAAGAGAAGCTTCCGAATCTATAGCGGCAACAAAGGCTGCCGCAGAGCAGGCAATGTTGAATGTTCAACAAAGGGCCCAACAGCAGGAACAAAGTGTTCAGCAAATGGTCCAACAGCAAGACAATGTTGCAATCAAACGGTTGCAAGGTACATTGGAGGAGCAAAGGGAACATTTTCAGCAGCGGCTAGCTCAGGCGACAGCAGCTCATGAGAAAGTTGTACAGGAAAAGAATGCCATGGCGGAAGAAGGCAACGCTTTTGTTGACAAAATGAGAACTGAACATCACCAGTATGTTGAGCAACAGGAGGCTAAGCTGAAGGCAGCCGTAGAGGCAAAGGATCAGGCAAGACATTCGTCTGCTGAAGAATCCCGGATCGCTATAGAACTTGACTTCAAGCGAGAACAACTGGACAGTTCGTTGGCAATTGCACAGGCAAAGATCAAAACCCTTGTTAATGAAATAGAGGCTACAAATAAGCAACATAGAGTTGATCGGGAAACACAAGAGCAAACTATAGTTGAGCTTCGCAAGGACAATGCAATGTTGAAGGGTGAAATGGATGAGCTCAGGCGTGTCGTACAGTCCTTGACAGACAGGGAAGAGGAACACAAGGAAGCGGAGCGCAAAGCGCAATCCTCTAGCCCCGTTAAGCCAGGGCCGCAATACCCTGAGCCATTCACACCTCCTGCTCGACAAGATGCTCACCCAATTGGTCAACCGCAATCTTTTGAACCTCTACGCACGGAAGGCACTGTTCCAGCAACCTTAGACGGTAAGCCCCTTGATAAAGGTGGATCTCCTATAAAGACAGCTATGGATGCAACAGCGTCCGTGCGCAACACAGGATTCCCATCAATGTTCTCAGGGACAGGGGCGCCCGCAGCGGAACAGGCAACGGCCTCTACAGACAGGCAACAATTCAAACAACCGGATCCGTGGACGGAGTACATGAAGAAGTCAACACAATACAACTTCAGTGATGATCCTTTGTACAAAAGCTCCTTTAATCAGGAAGCAACAAAGACTAAGGATGATCGCAGAGAAGAAGGGCCGGCTTCTCAGGTAAGAACTCCACAAGACCAAGATTTGGGGGAAATCATCAAGAAGGCCTTGCTAGAAGGGTTTAAGGGCGCTAAAAGCAAAGACTCCGACAAGCCCAAGGCAAAGGAGGCTGACAAGATAGATCTCCCTGAATTCCCAAGTCCTGACAGGTACCGCACTTGGAGGGCCGCGGTTCGCGAAGCGATACGGTCCGCGTCCGATGACCCAGACGCTGCGTTTGCATGGGTGCTTGAGGTGTACGCTGTTCGTGAAGACAAAGCCAAGCTTTGTTCCGAATTGGCTGACCCAGGCAAGTTTCGGACCTTAGACACGAAACTACTTGCTGCTTTAACTAAGGTTGCCAAAGGTGAACTGTCTCAGCAGATCCTTAATTATAAGGAATCTGAGGCACAGCAAGGTAGGATCGTCCGTGGTCGTCAGGTGTTGCTCATGTTTGAAGTCCACTTCAAGACCAGTGAAGAAGCGGGTGCACTATATGGCACTGAGGACCTCCTCAAGATCTCGCTTGATAGCGACGACTTGAAATCCTTTCTAAGAAAATGGGAGAGTGTTCTGACCGGAATGAGTCATGTCCCAGACCCGGCAACTCTCAAGGATCTGTTTTATAGAGAGGTTAGGAAGTCCCGCAAGCTCAGATTTGACCTTGATGTTTATGAACGAGCGCCGGAGGGAAGTAACGACAGAAGCTATGAATTTCTTATCAATTCTGTTCGACGTTACCTTGACAGGGAAAGGCTCAGGACCAATCGCGAAAAGATATCACAATCACACGCGGCAAAGTTCGCAAACCCGGCACCGCACGACAAGCGCACGCGAAGCCCAAGTTATGGCAAACGAAGCACAAAGGGTGACGGAAGCAATCAATGCTATGAGTATGCCAAAACTGGTAAGTGTAAGTACGGGAGCAAATGCAAGTACTCACACGACTCTAGCGCCCGTCCCCGCTCCCTTAGTCGGGAGTCGTCTCGTTCGCGTAGCGCAAGTCCGAGCAGCCGTTCATCGTTCAGGTCAAGCCGATCTCGAAGTTCGTCAAGACACACTTCCCGCTCCAGTTCAAGGAACTCATCAAGAAGCTCAAGTAGAGGGAGGAAATCTGACAAGCCATGCAGGTTCTTTGCAAAGGGTAACTGCAAAAGGGGTGACAAATGCCCGTTTAAACACGGAGACACTGCAACACCAGCCCCGCGCAGAAGGAGTCCCTCGCCCGCAGCTAAAAGGTCTAAGGACAAGAAATCCAAGAAGGACAAAAAGGACAAAAAGAGCAAACGGGAAAAGAAGGACAAAAGTCCAAAGGCCAGTCCATGTATTCAAACAGGTTTCGCAATGTCTTGCTTAGCAGTAACCGCAACTCGGACCCAAAAGAGTAAAGACTACTGGGAACTCTCCAAAGATGGCAATGAGTTGATTAGGCACCATTTGAAGCCTAGGCACAGGTCGTTTCTCCCAACACGTAAATCCTGTCCAGTTGAGTCATCTAGGTTGGAAGACCAGTTTACCATGGTAGTCACTGACTCAAAGGGAAAGAGTAGGACAATCAAGGGTAATTGGAAGAAACACCCAAACGCGAAACAGAAATTTGATTGGACTGGAAAGTCAATTTTCCGTGTTGTGCAAGAGAAGAGAATTCGTTTTGAATTAGAACCGGAGGTACACACCTTTCCTGTTTGGAAGGAAATGTACCGGCATGTAGTGAATAAGAGCAAGAAGCGGAACCTGTTCCGGACCACTGAGGAATGCCCAAAGTCCCGCGAGTGTGACACTAAGGACGCCATTTTGGCAGCGGAGTCACTTAGGCAGATGCTCGTTTCGATGGATACCGAGGAGCCTGCGTGTGATTTCCTT